GAGCTGGGGCCTTATCTGAAAGATTTACATCCATCTGGCTCCCTGGTTCTTCGTGTCCTGTTTTTCTGGCTGTTGAGGGTACCGGGCTGCGCCCCGGGATCTGATTATGAATGGATATCTATCAAGGGGGGGGGGGGGGGGGGAGGCAGGTAGGCTGTCATCTGGTTGTGGAAATGCGATGAATATGCCTGGTCACCTGATCCCACAGCAAGGGCCCTCTGTGTGAGCATAAATCTGTCATCGGCGAGCACAGGGGACTCTGCTATGATCCATCTGGGCCAGCTGCGTGCTTGCATCCGTGCCTGTCCATGTAACTGGAAAGGACCATTGGTGGTAGCCTCATTTTCCCCGTGTGTGTGTGTGCGTGTGTGTGTGTGTGTGTGTTTGTGTCAGCAGGGCATAGCCTGAGGCCCGCCAGATGGTGATAGTCCCTCCATCGTCTCACTTAGCTTACAGCCAGACCTTCTCAGCAAACACCAGCTGTCCCAGCCGTGGAATCACAAAACATGATACCCATCGGGAAGAAAATCTGTAGTTGCCCGTCATTGCATTCCAGTAGAATACTGGGGGGATTTTACATCCAGTTGTGCTGGTGCCATCGTGCAGATGCAAGCTGCTGTACTCAAAAGTGTCGGATCGTGAATCAATCAGAAACATTATCTCCATGCCCAAGGACACATGAAGAGTTGTCCTTGTCCCTGTTAAAGTAAAGAACAAACATTGGCAGCATCCAGGCTCCTGGCTTTTGCTTGTTCTAGATTACAGTTGAGCCACAGAGTCTAGCCTGGTTTATCACATCACCTGTCCAGACCCACTTTGCAGCTCCTTCAGAAAGGAGACACTCAGACCTGGAGTTGATAGGGAACCTCTCTTCTGCCTTTTGGTTTGGTTCACAGCCGGCACTTTGAGACCCAGCGATGATGGGGGGGGTAATTCCAGATAAGCCACCTCAATTCACAACTGTTTTTAAGTCAAGCATTCTTCTTTATCTGCCAACTTCAAAGCCTCCAGCAGTGGCAACTGCATTGAGACTCTTGACCTCCAGTTTGCCGTGTCAGTAGCATAACCTTCGAGGTGGGGAACAGCATCCTTTTGCTTGCTAGATCCTGACAAACTCCCTGAGGAGCTGAGTGTTCAGCCTCGGCCAAACCAGATCCCCCCTCCTGCAATGGAGGGAAACTTTGGCCGGCAATTGTGAGAATTTCCTGTCACAGGAAAAAGGAGAGAGGGAGAAGAGGCGAGCAGAATTGAAAGGAGCGAATAGAGCAGAGGAGACGATAGTGCGAGTGTAGAAAACTAAATGAAAGACTATGATGGATCATTTTAGAAGTAGATACAGCTTGGCAGTGTGGGTGAACGTTAACCTTAAGCCTGGCGACTCAACGGTCCGTCTTTGGCCAAATACAGTAGAAAAGCCCCTTGAAATGTCGAAATGTCGCATTGCTTTTATTAATGTTATTTTGTCGCCCGACGATCGCTTTAAACTTTGTTCCTCGATTGGAAACAGTGTTTCTCACCGCGTTGTTTCACTCTTTCCCATTAGCCAGAGACCTCAGTTACCTCAGGAGGTTTGTCTGCATTTCAGTCCACGGAGAGATACATTTAGCTTAAAACGTCAGCGATTGTAACACTTATTTATTTTATTATTTTGTATGAGGCCAGTTCATTTCAAGCCACGTTTCCATCTGTCTCTCTGTCCCACCTGACGGACGTGCTTTAGACATCCTGTGTGGCCTCCCTCAGCAGCAACAGAGGTTCTGCTCCGCGCTCAGAATCGCATATTCACCCATCCAGCCGTTAGTCTGTCCGTGTGCAAGCCCAACAGGCCGGAATGAATGGATGATCCGACACGAGAAAGATTTGGTCTAGCAGGCTACTTTTTGCTGTCGGGAAGAGGGATGTTGTTCATACCTTGTGTTGTCTCATCTAGCTCATAGCCCAGAAGTCACTGGGGTCGAAATGACAAAAGGTTCAAAGTTCTTAGGTTTCTGCACTAACTTTCATCCCATACGGCTGTTACAACACAGGGAACTAATGTGAATCTCAAGGTGCAAAGAAATGTTTTGTGCCGTTGTAGATTAGTTTGCAGGTGAATTGATCATCTCAGGACCGTATTTCTGCTGGATCCTTTATCTTTAACTGTTGTACTTCAGCCAACATGGCCCACGTAGACCAAATATCACCATCACTACCGTTATCAAGCCCCTGTACTTTGGTTTTCTATTAGACGGTAACTCAGCGTGATGTTAAGCGCCTGCTGTAAGACGCACACTTGTCCAGTGGGGCTTTGTAGCTGTCGTTAGCCACGGGTACGTTTGTGAAGCACACACAATCCCCGGAGCCGTTGTTTGTCTTGGCTGCCTCCCCGCCTATTATCTGGCCGGGAACAAACGAAGGCAGGGCCTTACAGCCGGGTGGTCGGCGGCCACTGCAGCGCCGCGCGGCTCTCTTCCTGTAAGGGAAGCAGGAAGAGGAAGTGAGGTAGTTCCCCGGGCAAGGGCTAGGGAGTTGGGATTGACAGTGAGCGAAGACAAAAAAATAAAACACCCCAATGAATCTCTATTTATGGAATAGAACTGCATGTAAAAGAGTTGGGTTGGTGCTGGATTGTTACACTTTTGTGAGCCGTAGATATTCTCGTAAAACTCTTTTATGGATTTGTGGAACTATATATATATATATATATCTGTATTGAATCCACCCATGTTTGGCTCTATTGTTAGTCTGTTTGTGCCAAATGCCCCATGCCCCCGGCCACTTCCTGCAGCCAAACAAAAGATAGAAAAATATTCTTGCTTCACTCTGTGAATGAAGAGCGGCGAGAAATATTATTCAGTTTTGTCCAGGGAATACGGTTGCCTTTAAGTCCACATTATGTCACCCTAAAGTAGATTTGACACACATTCTAGCCCACTGGGGTGTGTCACTGGATAGCTTCTCCCCAAAGATACCTGATGGATCCCATAGCCCTCTTTCTGGGGGTGGAAAGCAAACTATGTGTTTGTATGTCTAATTTACATTTCAATAGCTTTACTGTCTTTTGAGTGGTTTGTCTTTAAACATGAGGTCTGTCTTTGCAAACACACACACACAGGCTTTGCATGCGCACACAGTCACGCGCGCACACACACACACACATAGATGTGCAAGCGGACAGAACACTATCTAGCTCAGTGCTTTCAAGAATGTTGGGATAATTACCCGTTAGTTCACTGCTCTCCAAAAATACTAGGCGTAAAACACACACACACACCGCTTTGGAGAATTTCACATCCACAAGCAACATTTCAGCTCCTTCGCCAAAAAAAAAAATGTGTTAATGTTTTGTTTGACTCTGGGGCGCGTGACGGTGTCACTGTGGTTTCTTCATGGAGCGTCGGCCCCTGCAGTGGCAAAGGGGAGACCCTGTTTTGGTCGTGTCACACCTTGTTGTTAGTGGGTTTGTCTGCCGTCTAGGCTTGTTGTTGGTATGTAAATGCTTGTATACGGTCGAGAGGAGACCCTTTGACGCAGCGGTCTTCTTCTGACCCGTCTGTCTCTCTGTCTGGCAATACTTCATGGTTACCCTTCATTTGTCCACATCAAGTCAATTCCAACGTGTCAATGTCTTAACTTGAGTGGCACATATCTTCATACTGTCTGTGTAATTTTATAACGAATATGAAATACCTTAAATTTCTCTTGGGCACAATCTGTTCTCCTTTTATACTCCAGTTCTTAAGTAAAGAAAAAAAAATCCAACAACAATCCCTGTGTGTAACCTTGAAATGAGGTGCAACCGCTGGTATGTCAAAGATAAAATAAACTGCCCTTCATCTCTCTACCGTTAGTTACTTTTAGCTCAGGCCCGCTCACCTAAATATAGCACTCCTCGGACAAGTGTAAAGTACATAATGTCTAAATGCAAGGATTGTAGAATGAGAAATGGAAATGTTTCAGCTCTCCTGCCAGAATTCCGGACTTCACACACACTTCTCTCATTTGTAACAGGATTAATAAGTATTTAGCTTTCATGTTTTGCAGTCATTCTGTATGCTGTCCCTCTCATCTATGGTTTATCCTTGTCCTTTCCTGCCTTTGTTCCACGGGTTTTGTTTTGCCCACAGGTGGCGCTACATTTGTACTTGCTGTCATTCAACTAAAGAGGCCAATGTTAAGTTAGATCCTTAAGGCCTGGAGACATGTTTCTTTCTGTCTTCCTTCCTACAAACTGCTGCCCGTGGGGTGATGGAGCTGTTGAGTTTGTCCAGCCATTTGGCATATGACTACTAAAGGGCTTTCACGGATAATTGGGGGACATCACATGGCTCCACTAACACAGGGGACCTCAACATTCAGTTGGTATTTAGCACATCTGCCCCAAATGTTACACCTTGTGTTTAAAGGGATTTATGGAGTGTCTCTGGCAGTGGTGGAGAAGCACAGTGAACATGTTTGACTTTAGTAATGGCATTGATGGTGACTTGAGAAACATGCACCTGATACGTATACGTAAAACCTTTGGTGGATGCATCTTTGCCAACGAAAGTCTGTGCAGGTATTTGTCACTGTGATGACAAGCACGGCAATAATAGGACGTTCTATGTAAAATCAAACCCAGCAAATGAACAATGCATTTGTCACATAGGAAAATAATCCTAAAAGACGTTTTCTGTTGAAGACCACTGTGTGAACAGCAATAACCACTGCCGTACCTGCATAAGGAGCTTAAGTGGCACACACTTGGCGTGTTAGGGGGGTGGGGGGGGTTCAACACAATTTGCACGAAAGATGCATTGAGCTCAAGCTTTGGAAGCATGTGAGAGAGCGAGTGACCGAGTGTGAGATAGCTAATAAGGTCAAGGGGTTCACATTTGGTAAGCCGCTGGCGTGTCGGAGTTCCAGAGTTTTGTCCTTATGCAATGTTAAAATAATGTTTTATTTTCACTTTTTAGTTTTGTAGGAGACACTTCAATACTAACATGCTTTTGCTTTCTCTTCTCTTATTTTCTCCTCCGCAGAGATCGAAGCCAAAGAGGCCTGTACCTGGCTCTGGGCAGCAGGGTTCCCACAGTACGCCCAGCTTTACGAAGGTAAGGAGCTCTCCGAGACTTTGTGGCCATAACGGCGGTACGGCCTTGTGCTGAGATTAAAAATCCACTGTTATGCTGCCAATCGTGACATAATCTGTGAGATCGTTTTGCTTTGGTGTCATGTGAGTTTTCTGTTATTACCACAGCGATGCATGCAGGCTGAATAAAAGCCAGTGAGGTAGATGCGCAGTTAGTGACTAAAACGTGTCGTTGTATTATGCGTAGCTGATCATGTTGAACACCTTTGATGTTTTTTCAGGTAAATTAGAATAGTAGTGGTACCTTGTTAGGCTGTGATCGCACACCTTACAATTACAGCTCAGGATTTTTTAGCTCTTATAAAAGGCTTCTCCATGTCAAGCACACAAAAACACGCACACTGTGTTTGCGTACATGATTTATTCCCCGTGCTTTAATGTCTTTCTGCAGGAAAAGCTGCATATACCATTGCATACTATATATAGCAAACATTAACCATTATGTAATAATCTAACCTATAAAGTAGGACCAAAGGTCTTTCTTACCTTTGCTAAGCAAAAAGTTACTCATACAATGACACGTGGTTGAGAAAGAATGTTTTGCCCGACCCTTGAGTTTTAAATACACACTCTCAAATACAGCAAACATTCTTTACACTCCATATAGCTACTCCAGCTTTATTACGGCATGCCACGAACATACCAGTTGCCCTTATGTAACTGCAGGACGATGACAGCCAGACCAAGCTTCCATTGTCAACGGATCACTGCTCGCTGCCACTTAACCGTGAAAAGTTTCCGATGTGAACGGAAAGCTCATTGTGTTTCTGCACAGGTGATGAGCCCGTTTTTTATACATAGACAAAGAGCAACACAAAAGCGCAAACCCCCATCAATCACTGTGCGGAATTTAAACCGTCTACGGTTCGCCTCAACACCCTGAGGAATCTGTGCCGATGCATGACACATTTTTCCTTGCCCTGTATCCGTCGGACCATCTCTATTGTGCGTGCTGTCAGGACTATCGCCCCGCTAAAGATGAGCAGCCTGATAGGCCTCATTCAGTACAGTAGGCCAAAGGTGCTGGCCTCCCTTGAGCGGTCCCTTTTTTTTTCTTATTGGACCCCCCCGGGGGGGGTTTAGATGCGCGTATCCCGTTTTGGGTTGGGTCGAGGCATTCCAGAAAATCGGAAACCGGGTAAATCCTTTCGTCCATCCAGCCATCCATCCTTGTGCCCGACCGCTTTAATATTCCGACCTTAACTGTTAACCGTCACTAATGCATCGACTCAGTGAGTAAGTGATCCCGTTAATGAGGCAGACTCGGGAGATGGAAGGACAAGGAGAAAAGGAAGTGGGACCTCTGTGCAGCAGTGGAGTACCTATTGTCATTCTTCAATCAATCCCCTGTTCTCTCCCTCTGTGCTCCACATCCCCCCTGCCTGCCGGGCCTGAAAGCTGCAGCTGTGTTTGTTTGGTCAGCTAAGACGCGACTTCCTCTTTCTGGCTTTTCATCGGGGCTGTATGGGGGTAGAAGGTGGGACGGAAGGCCCTGGTGGGTGTTTGAGTGGGTGGGTGGGTCTTTGCGACGCCAGGGGGTTGTGTCTTTATATATGTATATATATATATATATATATATATATATATATATATATATATATATATATATATATATATATTTTTTTTTTTTACTGAACTCATTGATCCAATCAGCGGCAGGAAGATGCCCACACTAATCAGACCGTCTGTTCTTAGATGCCCAGTTTCCCATCGACATCTCTTCAGTCACCAGAGACCATGACTTCCTCGAGCGGGACGCTATTGAGGCTCTCTGCAGGTGAGATGCAACCTTCCATGCGTCTTTTCTCTTTTCTTTTGATGTTATGCGCCCCTCTTCTTATGCTTTCTCTTCTTCAAGCTCTTGCTTCCCCCCCCTCCCTGAATTAAACCATGAGGGCATGACTTCAAAAGGAGGCATGCTTTAGAAAGTTGCAGATGAGATGAAAGGAGGACATGATAAGCACTTTGGAGTCATGCAATGCACATTTTCCTATCGCCATTTGGGTCTCAATGTCCATATCTCATTCTCACATTGTTATCTCCTTCCTGCGGCAGTGACTATCAACCTCAAGCATTCCGTATCATGCTTGCAAGCACATGTCTCTGGATGCTACGGTCACGCAGCGTTCACTGCATTCAGTCTTTTCATGCTTTAGGAAAACATAGCACACTGCTTGACTTGCTACCGACAACTGGAGACGAAGTACTCTGAAAGCTTTGTCTGATGTTTGGTCTTCAAAACATCTTAGTTAGTGTGAGAAAAGGCTAAATGCCCATGAGTGTCATTGTTGAGGACTGGGTTTGCATCCTAAGCTAATGGCTCTTCAATGGAGTCGACTCCTTCGTCAGATTCAGACTCTTCAGTAATGAACCACAGCAGGTGTCCCTCCATACATCTGGAAGCTATCACCTCAATGTCCCCTGCCATGGCAGCCTTTCACCCGTCCGCCCCCCCGACCCCCCCCCGCCCCTCTCCCCTCGACACCGACTATCCCCCTGTTCTCGTACCTTCATCTCTCCATTGTTACATGATCTGCTCCTACAGCTCTCGCTCAGCTTCTCCAGGTGGCTAGGGGGGGATAAGCTTTCTGTCCCTCCCCGGGTTTTTCGTCACCACTCCGGCAGATTTCATTCTCTCTCGCTCTCTTTCTCCCACTCCCCCCCCCTCCCTCCCTCCCTCCCTCCTCCATGTGGAGATTATCCTTCAGCAGCTCATTAGCCGGCCCGGGGTGCACCTAAAATCCCCTTCTGTCTTTCCCTTCACCTCTTCTGTTTTTTCGCCCGTGTTTCATCGTTTCATTCCATCATACATCCTCCTGTTGGCGAGAGGTTTGTGTTTCAGGAAAACTCCAGCAGCTGGAATATTTCAAAGCCAATTTTAAACTTAGCCAACGTGTTTTGTGTTTTTCGCAGGAGACTGAACACACTGAACAAGTGCGCTCTGATGAGACTGGAGATATCGCCGCAAAGAAAGCGAGTAAGTGAACGTGCACACTTTAGCTCCACTCCTTTCCGAAAAAGCCCCCAACCACAACTGCATTCCCTCACCTCAACCATCGGTTCACTCTTGGCCACAGGGCACAGCTGTCTTTTTCTCTCATCTTCTTTAATGAGAAGGCACCTGTTGGCTTTATTTCTATATCAAGTGGGCTGTGAGCACCCTAAGGGGAAGGAGGATAGCGTTAATGTTTAAATGGAGGGGTTGAATTCCCCAAAACCTCCCCCCACTAAATGGATCCTTTCTCAAATTCTTCTGGCTGATCATGAAAAAAGTTTGTATGTTGCTTTTGTTTCAAACTTGCAGAACTGTGATCACACCTAAATGCCATTTAATGAGCCCAATCTGTTCGGTTCTTAAGTAGCTTTTAAGATTTTACTCCATAAAACTTAGATTTTGCTTTCAAGGAAACGGGGCTCTTGGAAGGAAGTAGGATAATGGTGTGACTATCCCAGTTTAAGACCATGTGAGATCTCCTCACTGACTTGCGCTGTATACTGCTCCCTTTTTATACTAATTGACCCTTAATTCCCAAACTGCCTTGAGTGGTTCATAGTAGCATCCTTGTTCTGTGTGCAGTGGTATTCTGTGTCACCTTTTATTTCAGGAGTCAACAAGAGTAGAGGTGTCCCCCCTCCTCCTTAGAAAGCTTAGGAATGCACTGATCTCCTCGTGTCTCAACATTCCCTCCATCTTAAATCTCAAATCTGTGTTTGTACTTTCTGGTTTAATCTTTCTATCAGTTGATATCACAGGTTAACAGCAGATTTAAATAGATGAGTTGATTGTAATAATACGTTTTCATTCCGCAGATTCCTTGTGACGTTTAAAGTGCCAACCCTTACAGTGAATGCTTGGGTTGTTTGATGTTGTGAGGATAAGATATCCCGTTGATAACTGGTAGACGTACTATTGGTCAACCACTGACAATCTCTATGCAGCAACCGCACATTCCAGCTAACATAACTTAGGAAAGGAAAGCCACATTGGAATGAAAATGTCATGAAAGTCTCCGTTCTCTCTTTAAATCCTGAACTTGAGTTAAAACATATGATTAAAAGCACATAGTTAATGAGACCTGGATGTGGAGCCCTCGTGAGCTGTGAAAAATGAATGCAGCATGGATTTTCTGCATTATTCTATTTTTAAACTGGAGTTTTTCTGTTCAGAACTGCAAAGAAATGTTTTTATTATTGAATTAAAAAAGTCACTTGCTCAATGAATCTTTTGGGGATTATGTAGCTGTGGCTTTAGAAAGGTAACAAGGAAGAGGCTACATTGTGACGTATGGTTTGGTTTTATGAGCTCCTTTGGAAAATCCCAGTTTAGCTTGTGTGTACAACAGTCAGTGTTTTAAAATCGAGTGGAAATCTCTGTCATAGATCAAAAGCATTAAGGACAGAGACCATCCGCGTATCAGTGACGCTTTCTCTGCGTATGCACAGACAGAGAGCATAAAGACTGTAGGGGGGAACGACCCCAGTCTGGCCGTCTGCATTGTGAGCGATGGGGGTCATAGTGGAATTTCCTGAGCTCCCTCCAGGCCCAGAGATAGATTAACCAAACTGGGGGAGGTGTGCGCATTGTGAAGAAAAGGTGCATGTGCAATGGTCACTTTTTGTCTTTTGTATTGTGAATGTCCGTGTTTTCAGGAAGTGACAAAATCCTGTTTACTGCGTGGCGATAAATATCTGCCCAACCACAGCACGTCCGTTTAAACACCAATGCAAGCAACATGCAAATGCAACCACTGCAAAATCATTTCCCGAAGTCCAACAGGTTTCCTGGACCGATGTGAGGAATGTTTGAAAAAGAAATGGAAAACACCGCTCTGCATGATGTTCTATAATGGTCTCTATTTTCCTCCCTTTTCTCGCTCATTTCTTTCTCCCTCCTTCTCTTAAATCCAGAGCGAGGACTCCGATGAGGACGAGCCGTGTGCCATCAGCGGCCGCTGGACCTTCCAGAGGGACAGCAAGCGCTGGTCCCGCATGGATGAGCTGGAGGTTTTTTCCTCACTGCCTGCAGATGCCGCGCCGCCCCCATTCCCCAAGGACCATCCGTCCCAGAAGAGCAAGCTCGCCCTGCGCGAGGCCAACAGTTCAGAGAGCATGCTGACAGACCTCAGCGAGCTGCCTGAAGTGGGCTCTATCCACAGCAGCGGCAGCAGAGGGAGAGGAGGAGGAGAGGAGGAGCAGGAGAAGAGCCACGCCGCTGCCCTGGCAAACGAAGCCGGGGCCGCCGGGGCAACGCGCGCCAGCTCCGTGGCTAGCATGTGTTCGTCCTCGGGCACCGGCGGGTCGGGATGCGTTAATGAGGACTCGCTGTCGGACGGGATGCCCCCGTCGCCCCTGGAGACGCTCGGGCAGTTCACCTTCGACGTGAAAACGGCAACGGGAGGCCCGGGGGGAAGTCTGGACAGAGAAGACGGCGGCAGCAAAAGCACACGCTCGAGAGCCAAGAGCTTCCTCAAGAGGATGGAGAGCCTGCGGCTGCGCAGCGGCACCTCGTCCAAGAGAAAGAAGAAGGGCAGCGCCAGTGGGGGGAAGATAGAAATCAGTGGTCCTGTCATCAAGGAGGGTCTAGATGATGACAAGCTGCGGAGGCTCAACTGTGTCGACATCTCCAGCATCAACCTCAACCAGAACCTCAATCACCACCGCATTCCCGCTCAGACAATGACGCTCAACCGCAATCGCTCCGTCTCCTATTCCACTCAGACCAGCAACGGCAGCACTGGGAGCACTGGGAGCAGCCATTCCGAAGCCAGCAGTGGGAGTGCGGTGAGCACGCCGAGCCCGGTGACCCGCGCTCGCAGTCACAGCATAGCGGCGGGCTCCAGCAAAAGGGGAGGGATGTATTTGGAGGGTTTCGATCCTTTCAGCGTTCCCCAACACGCTTCGGATGGCCTGCTGACGACCCCGCCCAAATCTGCCCCGCCCATCCCCTGCCAAGCCGGCAAAGGGATGACGGTCGATGAGCAGAACCGCAGGAACAACCGCGCCGCTCGAGACGACATTAGACGAGCAGCAGCAGCAGCAGCAGAAGAAGAAGGAGAGGAGGAGGAGGAGGTGGGAGAGGACGGCACGATCTTCTTCTTCTTACCCGAAGGTCACAAGCCCGGAACCTTCCCCACAGCCCTGCAGGACGGGAGTTCACGCACCAGCAACGGGAATGACAACGGGAACTCTGTGATCCTCAGAGGGCGGCAAAGCAGTCGGCAGCGCCAGTGCTCCTCGGGCTCCGTGGACAGTCGGCTCAGCTTTTATGACAACGTGCCCTACGCTGAGAGGGAGGAAGGTGCAGAGGAGGAGGAGGAGGAGGAGGGGGATGAACACAAACTGGAGCAAGTGCTGCAACACGTCAGCGGCCTGCAGCGGTTCGTTAACGCCTGGTCAGAGGCTGTGGCCGGCGAAGAAGAAGAAGAAGAGGAGGAGGAGGAGGAGGACGACGATGACGAAGAGGAGGAGGAGGGAGACTCTGACTCAGCGCTGGACTCGGCCTCGCCGTGCCCGTCGTCTCCCCTGCAGAACCGGCTGGAGGAGACAGAGAACGGGAGTGACCAAGACAGCACGGGAAACCCGCTGGGAGAGGGAGAGGAAGGGATGAGAGAGAGGAGGGATTCTGGTGTCGGGGCGTCTCTAACCAGAACCAGCAGGTCAGTAAAGCTGCATTAATAGTGTCGTCCTACCATCAAGGGGTCAGTTTACAAATATAGGCTACTTTTGAGATATGGCTCTTAGCCTGGGGACTCCCGATATTCCGGAGGTGAGCCAGTCTGAACACCTTTTCCCAATGGGACTATTTCTTCTGTTGTAATAAAATTCTTTTAGCTTTTTGGGTGGACTGATCCTCCCAGAGAAAACTATAATTCTAACCAACAGGCCCGTACTTTGCGTCTTCTTATAAAGCTCTTGCCAAACGCGATCTATATGCACGAAAAGCTCATGGACAACAAAGCAATAGAAAGACTAACACATAGAGAGTGACGGCAGTGGATAAACAGGGGGACACGCTGAGACTTCTCTCCTTACGTAATGCCGCTGGATGCTCTGGAATGCTGTTGGTCTCCACGGGGACTGCTGCTGTCCCTTTAGGAATCCACTGGCAAAATTACATTCGGGGGGGACGTGCGAGGTTTTTCTTTGTTGATGTGTACATAAATCCATGTAATCCCCCGATCTGATCACTTGGCACATAAAACCTGCCTGTGTGTGGCTTTGTGTTGTTTTCTCAGTTTATGGGTACACAAAAGCATGACGCATCTCCAAAGAGTAAAAGTGGTCAATTTGAGCTCTCTCCTTCTCTTCTTCCTTCTCACTTCCTCCAGACCGCAGAAACTCCGTTGGCCGAGCTTCCAGAATTCCCACCGGCCGAGTTTGGCCTCAGCCCAGCTCCAGATCAGCTGCCAGTCTGTCCTACAGATGAATCTGCTTCAGAAGTTCTCTCTGCTGCAGCTCACTGCTCTGCTGGAAAGACACACCCCGACAAACAAACATGGCTTCAGCTGGTGAGTCGACTGGAGGGAACATGAAGCGCTTGTTTAAGGGACACGGGAAATAAATAGCAGAGGAGGATTTCATATTGGGGTTGTTTGACACCCACACAGATCATTTAAAGCGGGTTTAGAATGTGGAAGGTCTTCTGCGTCGGGGCTAATTAATTATTTGTAAAGTGATGCCCATACATTTATGCATTCAGACCATCCATCCATCCAACTGCTGACCCTCGGTCCCAGCGCGCTCCCAATCCCCTCTGTCTGCAGGTCGCCGCGTAGTGTGGTGACGGCTGTCCGCAGAGATTGGGTTTCACATTCTTTTCCCAGGCCCATAATTGCTGGGAAGGGGCGTACATTGTCTTTTTCTCAACGGGGCAATCATGGCAGTTTGCACGTTTGGTGTTACAAGAGCTGGGGGCCGGAAAGCAAGTTTCTTGACACTTATTCCTCCAAAACTACCTTCTGCATCAGGGCGTTGGCTTCAGGCCACTTGATTAGCCGATGGCACCTCATTTCCCTGTTAATTAATGTTTTCAATACTAGTTTTTTCACCTTTTCTTTCCACATGGACATTCTTTTCAGTCCCAACATACATTACAGGAGATGTGTGAATTCACGTTACTGAGAACCACATTTATTATTTGACTTTTCTCCGTAACTACAAAAATAAACACATTTATTTTCTTGTGATTTCGGCTTTCCATTTTTCTTCCACCCGAGGCCTTCCCCGGACCGGAACACAAGGCTACGTGAGCATCTTATGACAGGCTGTGGCTCAATGGAAGACAGAGGCCACTTGTTGCCCTGCTGGAGGCCCACGCATATTCAGAATTCCGAGCCGAGATCATAATTTGCTCTTTTTCCATTTCTTTCCTCCATAACCGTGGTTCTTGGAGTCTTGTGATGGCTGCTTTTACAAAGCCAAGCTTGTCCCGAGTCACACTAGTGTCTCTCTGCTAAACACACTCGTACCCATGCAGATGGACACACAGGCATAAATCTGTGGGGGCATTCTCTTGTGTGCGTGTTTCAACGCTTGGGTTTGTGGTTATGGACTTAGTGTTCACTTACTACACACACACACACACACACACACACAGTAACAAACCGAGACAGACACTTTGTGGGGATGTGGGAACCTCCCCTTTTTGACTCCCGTCTGTACATCCGACTCCCCGTCCCCGTTCTCCCCTCACCCTCTTCATCCACCTCTCGTAAAACCGCAGACAGGTTCCGGCGGCCGCTTGGTATCCTTATTGCACTCACATAAAACACACACTTTGTGGTAGCTACGTTTTTTTTTTCCTGCAGTGATTATGTCTGCGTATCCATCTTGAGTCGAAATGTTGTTGCGTTAGTTTAGTGTTTCTTTTATTAGCATCGCTGTTAAAAAGTAGGCGAGTAAATATGACGGCATGTCTCTGCATTGAGAAATCCTTTTACACTGCGTTGCTAAAGTGAACTAAACAGAGTTTTCTTTTCTTGTGCGTTTTGCAGGGCCGTGCCAAAGTTTATGAAACGCATCAAGGTTCGGGACTACAAAGACAGGAATGTTTTCGGTGTTCCACTCCAAGTCATCGTCCAGCGAAGCGGCCAGCCCCTCCCTCAGGGGATTCAGCAGGCCATGCGCTACTTACGCAACCAGTGCCTTGATCAGGTAACATTGAGTATACAAAACAACACACATACTGTGTATGGACACGCGTGTAGTTTCACTGTGTGAATACAGCTTAATTATAAGGTTCATATAAGGTGATAATGACAAATATATAATACATTTTTTACCGGCCGCTCTTTCTTAAAGAACATATTTTGACAGGTTCTTCGTGTGTGTGTGTGTGTGTGTGTGTGTGTGCCTGTGTGCACGTACATTCACAAAGGAAAGAGCGAGCGAGTGAGGAGAGAATTTACAATACCAACTTCGTATGTGCTTTGAGCACATCAATCACTTAAGATGCACCTCAATGATAGGAAAACTGTACTGATGCTTATACTGAGATTAATAAGGGATCAACAGTTTAAAGCGGACGTGTGGGGTTTCTATGAATATATATATATATATATATATATATATATATATATATTCATATATATGTATTTGGTGTAACTCTTTCTCCCTTTGTCCCCCTCTTTTTTTGCAGGTGGGGCTTTTCAGGAAATCGGGCGTTAAATCTCGTATTCAAGCTCTTCGTCTGATGAACGAGGCGAGCGGCGTAGACGGGGGAGGCGTCAACTACGAGGGCCAATCGGCGTACGACGTCGCAGACATGCTGAAGCAATATTTCAGAGATTTACCAGAACCCCTGCTCACCAGCAAGCTCTCTGAGACCTTCCTGCAGATTTATCAGTGTAAGAAAACAGACGCGTTCACGTGTAATATAAACAAAATCTTGCCAAGACATTAAATGCCTTTAGTTCACATACACACAGTGCACGTTGGAATAAACAACACGGTTTTGTTTTAGAGCTGAAGATGAAATTGCGAAACCGTGAGAAAAGGAAAAACAAACAAGACGAGTGCAGGAAATACCTGTGGAATGATGTGATGTCTTGGATTGGTTCATCCTTCTTTCACTCACTGTCACATGAAAGTTCTATGATTGACACGGCTGCTTTAAGAACGTTTACCAAAGGGGAAAAAAAAGCATAAAAAAACACACACACACATGTCCTGACCAAGCGGACACAAAATTAGCATTACGGGAGTTATTAGTCGCCACAGTATTAAATACGAACCACGGCTCTCTTCCTCTCCAGACATGCCTAAAGAGCTCCGTCTGCAGGCGGCCCGTGCCGCCGTGGTGCTGCTGCCCGACGAGAACCGCGAGGCGCTGCGGACTCTGCTGTGTCTGCTGAGCGACGTGACGGCCAGCGTGTCCGAGAACCAGATGACGCCCACCAACCTGGCTGTTTGTCTGGCCCCGTCCCTCTTCCACCTCAACACCTTGCGTCGCAAGGAGAGCTCCTCGCCAAGGTGCTTGACCTCCACACCACCGTAATTAGCTCATTTGGATTAGAAGCTTAGATAATATCAGGTGGTCAATTCACCCGAGAGCAGGATATTGTAGATGGAGGAGAGAGAAAAAAAGAGATGCACTTTACAGGGGGGTAGGCGAGAGAGAGAGTGGAAATAGAAAGGTTACTTAAATATCTGTACCTAATTAAAAAACACCTACTTTGGTTCACCTTTAGCTAGAGGCGGATTCATCCAATGTAAAGCTCCCACTCTTCACTCTCCTACCCCAGTACCGTGACAATGGATGCTGGTCCTAATCTCGTCGTCCTATTTTCTCCCCCCCCCCCACCCCTCCCCCCGGTCAAAGGGTGATGAACAGGAAGCAGACACTGGGAAAGCCGGACCAGAGAGACCTGAATGAGAACCTGGCTGCCACTCACGGCCTAGCACACATGATCCAAGAGTGCAGCAAGCTCTTCCGGGTATGTATTTTTTAATTGACGAATTTACATGGGAACCGTAAAATGAATTCAGAATGGCTTACTGCGGTATCAATGAGTTAAGTTGATTCAAGTAATTTTATTTGCACAAGAAATGTCTTTTTTTATTATATTATTAAGACACATAAAGGGATTGTGCCTTCCAAACGGCCCCGTTCTGTATGACGGGACTTAACTTGATAACTCTGCTCACTTACACCAAACTCAAGCATATGTTAAAGCTTCTTAACCCCATACAAACCGACCCAATCCAGTTTGGTTCTGTGTATAAGCAAACCAAGCAGAATAAACAAACAGGAAATAATCAGAAAACTAAACAATTGCTAATTCAATTTCAATCCCATTCAGGCGAAACGGTCCCCGCCCGGTGCCATCTTCTCTGACATGCTACAGTAAATGCTAAGAGCCCACATACAGCGGGTCATTAGTCCTAGTTTGATTAGATTGCCTCCTGGCTTACTGTCACTGGTCACATCAAGCAACAAATAAACTGAATTTACTCCCAAATTACTTTCTTTTAATTAGATAAAAAGGAGGATGACCTATGAAATCATTTGACTGTCATTTGTTTTCCATCGCAACAAACATTTTCTTATCTAATTAAAATCCTTTTCTTAGACTTTGATATCATGGTTATTAAATTAAACCTGAAAGATCTCTCAAACATACGGACAGAGAGAAAAATGATGATGGTGAGCGAGGCAAACAAGGAGATGAGAACAGGATGTGGTGTATTTACATCCTTAATGCAAGCTATGCTTAATATAGTTTCCCATTATTTAAGGGGGAATGTCAACACATGTTTGGCCATCATGCATCCTAGCTGCACGGGGCCTCCAGAAACCACATGCAAAGGCCGGTCCCGACTCTCATAGTCCTCCTCCTCCTTTCACGCAGATCCCAGAGGAGATGAATCGCTGCCGAAACTCCTACGTGGAGCAGGCGCTGCTGCCTGGGCGCTTGGAAGACCTCACAGGCGAGGAAGCCGTACAGGGGGGTTACAGGGCCTACCTGAAGGACAGCCTAGACGCCCTCCTCAAAGACGCCAAGGACAAGTTCAAAGGTTACGACAGCTGCTCCACACCTGAGCACGCCGAACTTTCCTGCAAGAAGGTAAGGCCCCTTGTTTGTTCATCAACTCTCTCTGGTTCATTTTTTAGGGAGGAAAACATTGTCCTTTTCTGGTCCATCTTTGTGTTTGAGGGTGATGATTGGATTATTCCCTGGGAGAGAAACGGATCATCAGTCAATCTGCCTTTAGCGTGTCAAGAAGCCGCCATCCATGAAGCGCACAGCTATCTGTGTTTCCCGTCATCTCCTTTCCTCTTTGTCTCTGACAGATGGTTTTTCCCTTTTCCCAAACATTGAGTGGAAAACCCGCAGTTAGCGTTTCCTGTATAAAAACACATCCGTGTGAAACTGACCCGGCCCTCAGCGCCTCATTCCCATCACGGGGGTTTGACTCTATTCCAGAATGACATCACACAAACATGCACAACCTCGCAAGTTCTCCCAAGCTTACATTTCCGGTGTCTAGTGTGCAAGGGCCCTGTGTGAGTTGATCTCGTCTCCAGAGTCACAAGGCGCAGAGTGTTGTTTACCGTCTGATAGCCCGAGAGAAGCAGCTGACTTGGCTCGCAGGCGTTGGGAGCTTTTAAGACACTGCCTGACTGTTGTGCATGAAATAATGGCTGGAACAGCACTTCCAATCTCTGTAAATACGACTAATATGATTAGAAAAGCTTCCAAACCCTCGCATGACGCACTTGAAGTTTGATTAAAAAATAGCTAATTTCAAGTATTCATGTGAACGTAATTATTGGCCAGGCCTGCCGTCGAGCATCCAGGGTCATTCATTCTCTTTGCTCATTTTCTTTCATCTTTCTGCCGTCACCTGTCTCTCTTTTTAAAAGATGCAGCAGAATAATTATAAGTGAATAAAAGAAAGCTGGTTAAGCTGTTGGGTCACACGTTTGCACGCGTTTCTCCAGGTTCATGACGGCTTTCCACTGCGGCTGTGGAAGGTGACCGTGGAGGTGCCTGCGAGTCCTGAGGAGGTCCTGACGCGATTGCTGCGGGAGCAGGGCTACTGGGACGAGGACCTGCTCGAGAGCCGGGTGGTGGAGACCCTGGATGAGAGGACGGAGGTCTACCAGTACGTCAGGAATACCATGGCTCCACATCCCACCAGAGACCACCTGGTGCTCAGGTAGACATTTCCCTCCACTTGCTCCCAATCTCTCTCTCTCTCTCTCGCTTTTATTCGATGATCTGCTCTGATTTAATGTTGTTGTTTTTTTTTAATCAAAACGTATCATTACTCTCCCTGCCAGAACATGGGTAACGGACCTGCCCAAGGGAGCGTGCGCACTTGTGTGTAGATCTGTGGACCATGAGGGCGCACGCGTTGTAGGCGTTCGGACCAACGTACTGACCTCCCGCTACTTCATCGAGCCCTGTGGAAGCAACAAATCCAGACTGACGCATATTTCCAGGAACGACTGCAGGTGAGAGCCTGACTGACTGACAGGGTCAAGGACGGATTTTGGGGGATTAGATTTGATTGTAGTTATTTGTTTATTCAATAGTTTTAAGTTGGTTCTTACATCATGTCTTCTTTTTTTTCTCCCAGGGGTCGTTTCCCAGAGTGGTACAATAAACTATATGGACAGCTGTGTGCGGCGGAGGTGGCGCGGATACGGGACTCCTTCAACGTGCCCATGGACAAATGAGAAAGTCATCTGGGGAGCAGCGGACTCGGCGGTCATACTTTGGATCCTACAGAGGAATCAAAATGACTCATTTTATCCGTGAGCAAGATTGGGTCCAAGCCTCTGAACCATCAGATTTTAAGGACAGATCCTAGATTGAAGGACTTTTTTGCTTTCATTGTGTTCCAATAGACTGACGTTATCGTTTAAGAACTGTTCTGTTTGGGCGCTCGGTGTGCTGCCAGGGGGACTTGTGACACAAACACTTACCCGGGCCAAAAGACACGATGTTGATGATACAGGATGTGATCCAAAGGGTGCTATAGCTTCTGAGAAGCAAGGGTGTATGTGTGCGCGTGTGTGTATTTGTGTGTACGTGTACATGTACATGAGTGTTCAATGGTTATTAGATACATATTCCTCGCATTGTTTTGTTTTTTTCCAGTAGCAGCATAATGTGTACATACATTATTCTCTTCACAGTGGTGGTGTGTGTCCGTCTCGTGTTACCCCTCCGCATTGTTGTGTTACAGCACGGCACAAGAGGAACAGCAGACCACAGTGCGACTATTTGATTGATGAATCCGTGGGTGAATAAAGATGTGATTTTGCAGGTAATACAGTATAGAGTATAAAGCAGAGTGTCCTAGTGAGGTGACTGGGGGGGGAAGGGGCGGCTGATGGCAGGGTTTAGGGGTTTCACGAAAGGAAGGCAAAGACAGATGAGAATCGGTGGCTGGCACACCAATAAGAGGAAGGGAACGATCCAAGAAACGGAAACTAATTTACAAGATCACACCAACAACGCTAGAATTTAATGCCAACAGATCTACATTAATGGACCAAATCTGAAAGAGCTTAAACAAGTAGCTTTACAAAATACAGCTTTTTCTTCATTATTAAAAGATTAGTGTTGTTAAGAGCACATGTTGTTGTTGTTGTTGTTGTTGTTGTTGTTTAAGGCAGGGCATCACTTGTATAGATTTTTTTTAATAAGACTAATTTTGATTTCACCATCATTTTGGTGTCCATGAAAACAGAAAAAAAGACAATGCACTGTTCTAACTTGCAGCAGAAACCTCCGGCGAGTCCTAAAGATGAGAAGTGAGCAGAGAAAAATGGTCCTTTTATAAAGGGGGAGATATTACAGGTTTTACTGTAAAGAAGAGGGCCAATTGAATGTTTGTGTGATTTCAAAGGAAGGAAAACGATATTTGTGTAAGCTTCAGCATCTCTGTGCTGTCGTGTCAGTGTTTTAAAGGAAGACATTTGGGTCCTCGTAACCTTCTTCATTCATAACACTCATGCTTCAATCTGAGGGCGCGCATATTTCGTGTTGAGTTGTATGATTCATTGTTAAGCCATTGTTCATATCGTAAATGTTCGTACCTTTAGCTGTGTCTCTGCCAAATAATAACGCATGAAAATTACAGTTAATTTAAAACATATGTATTTATACCTCAGATATGTGTTTGTTTTGTATCATACCATTTTATTTTATTGTAAATGTTAAGCTTTGTGTTACAGAAATGAACAAATGTTTTATCTTTTTTATTAATATTATTTCTGTACAGGTTAATCAAAGTGCACTATTAAATGTATTAAAATAAGAAATGATTTATTTGTCATTTGTATACACAACATTTTGCTCCGGGTGTCAACATTTACTGAAATCCCGAGTAAATCTAACTGGATTTTCCTCATCCACATCTGTCTGTGTCTATCCTTCACTCCAGTGATCCTACGGTTGAGCTGCATGCATGGGGCTATCAACAGGCTTCTCACATGCTGATCTCATGCGTTGTCTTGCTTCTTGCATAACAATTGAATATAACAGAAGACAATGGAGTCTGTCGTACCACAGCTGGCTCGGTCTGGACCCGACGGATTCAACAATTAGGGGTGCAGTCATGCAGCAAAGACGAGATCCAACAGCTCAGAGTGGAGGTTCATGTTGTTTTTAAATCACTTGACAAAATGAGAAACCTTTTGTATGATCTATAAACCCTGTTCCGTGTAATTATATAACTCAGGTTTCTCTTTCTGTTGAGAATAAACCCTCCATGGACTCAGGAACCACACATTAGCAAAAAACTCATGAAACATTAAACCACACGTGTGCATCTTGTCATCGTGAATATGTTTCTTGCTAGGAACACAAGCGCTTTTGGGGGATTATGCAGAGCCAGATAAGTGTGTGTGTGTGTGTGTGTGTGTGTGTGCTTCCAGTTTGTCATCCATTTATCAAAAATGCTGTACTAATTGTGCAACTTTTGGTCTGAAGGTAATTGCTGGATCCATATCAGGAGCAATTTTTGACAATGAAGGATCTCTCCTCCTTTTTTTCTCTTGAACCAATAAATGTTCTGCATAACTGATGCATTGTTTAAAACAATGTGAATGGTGCATCAAGAATGAAAGAGAACAGCAACCAACTGCAAGGAGAGGATATAAACTTATCAAATACTGCAAACAGTTATCAAATTTTTCTGCTTCTACTTGCACATGTTCATTATTCTTCCTTGCATATGTATGAACCACCAGTGACATCCTGCTTAATATCACATTATAGCGTTCAAACCCGCCTTTCTGGCCATGGTTTGCATGTCATCTCTGGGACTGGGTGGGTTCTATCTGGGGACTCCGTCTTCCTCCCACAGTCTCAAAGCAGGCAGGTTTGTTTGTTGGTGATTTTAAATTGTGGGCAAGTGGGTCAGTGTGTGAGTGAAGGGTGGTCCATCTCCATATCGGCCCGTCCAGGCTGTACCACTTCACTCGCCCAATGCCAGCTGGGATTGAGTCCAACACAAGGGGTCTCCAACTCCAAATCACCGTTGGAAGTTGTTTTAAAGATCAACACTGTCCTCTGGTGGTCGTTTGGATTCATGTGACCCTCATCAAGCGCATCATGTTGTGTACGTTCTGAGAGTCCGTCAGGGCTTGAAAATGTGTAAATACGAATGCGACAGCACTTTACTGCAACATATCACCACAACCACATAAAAAACTATCATTTCATACTTTTTACTCTCTGATTTGAACATCTTCCAGGTTCTTACGTCATAAAATCACAGGTAATTTGAATTTACGTTTTTCCAGTTTTTTTGTGAAATGTTCTTATGAATAAACGCATTAATGGACCATGTTCCATTTTAAACCCTCAATGTTTCAGTCTAAATGTGAAATGACAATATGTTTACCTACATTTATTTCTCCATGCTTTCACTGCATATCCCCTTTTTACGGTCACATTTGAATGACTTTTGGGTAATCCCCTTAGGCAATGGTGACTGATGGAAAGGCTTCATTAGGGCCTCACAACGTCTGCTGGTGGGCCCTCAAACTCCTGCCGGTGTGTCAGCTGAAGTGCGCCTCAAATTCTGTGAGTACTTCGGGGTGAAGATTGGGATTGGGACCAAGTGATGGAAGAAAAGCAGCCAAACTGGACCCCTGGTTATACATTTATGGGCCACTTTCAGCACTAGAGGGCAGGATTCCCTCTACAGTTTAAAAATCAGCATCTGGTCCTGTCCTGTTCGGCCTACTATGAACCCAAATACATTATGCAAAGCCTGTCTAACCGTTGTGGCACAAAATACATTATTAAATAGGCGGATGAGCACTGCAGGAATAAATGTCTTTTTTCTGCTTTACCTCACAAGACTAAATAGTTTCCACCCTGATTTAAGCTTAAAATGTAATGCAAAGAAATCACATTCGTGAATTTGACTTATATTTGATCATCAAGAAGACATCTGTAGGCTTATTTCATTTATTTTTTGTTATTTCATTTTTTGTGTCAACAACTACAAAAACCTGCAGGCACATCAAAAAACGAAACACTTTTGAGCACATTACGGTACACAAGGCTACTCTAGTAGTATAGGACTATCTATCTTTGCAAAACATGTATTACTAATCACCACAAATACAACATTTGATACACCAACTTTGAAACTTTGATTCACAAAGGGGTCCAGCCGTGTGTTACATTGTATTTTTTCCGCTTTCTATTCAGGCAAAATGTGCTCTCTCAAACAGCGCATGCACATCATCCATAGTTAAAGTGAATTCCTTAATAATAAGTGCAATAAAGACACCAGACGAACAGGGCGTATCAAATGGTAATATATAAATGAAACATGGGTGTTACAAAATCCTATTACACAACCAGCTGAGAATGGGGGGTTTTTGGATACGTTTTTCTGACAGCTCTCACAAAAACGACTGATAAATAGATAAACCAGGAACGTGTACTACTGTTTCTGTCGCGTTGTATTATTTGATTATTAGCGTACTGGCACACCCAGTGGGATTTCTGGAGATGAGCCTAACAGGAAAAACTGTGTGCGATGCAACTTGGCCCAGTTTCAATTAACTTCTCTACGTCCTTGCCGTAGTTATAAAACTTCGCAACGGGGGTTTCGTAACCGAGCCGTCCCGACCAATCAGAGCGCGAGATCCCCGCTCACGTGACGGTGTTTTTATGTAACGAACGTGCGTCTACGGGTGAAGTCGGTGGAGGACCGCGGCGGCCGTAGAAATGCGTAGACACGCTAACGGAAGAAACCCTAAATCCACGTAACATTTCGTCTTTTCCTCAACCCGACGCCACGATGTCGCTCCGGCCGCCAGCGGAGGACGCGCAGGAGGCGAGAAGCTCCTTCTTCATCGGCGCCCGCTCCTCGGACGACTCGGAGGAGCGCGAGCGCCATCCGCTCATACTGCAGAAAGCCAACGCGCTGGCGTCGGGCAACTGCCTGAAAGAAGCCATCGACTTGTTTTCGGTGGCCATGCGGTACGGCTCGGTGCTGCCCGAGCAACTGGGCACCTTGGTGGACTGCGTCCTGCGCAACTTCAAGACCAAAGCCGCCGGGCCGGACTCGCCTCCGGGTCGCGGTCGGCACGCGGAGGAGAGCCGCCGCGGGGACGACGCGTTCGACTGCCCCAACTGTCGCGGCTTTCTGGGGGAGCCCGTGACGACAGGCTGCGGACACTCGTACTGTAAGCGGTGTCTGCAGCGGGGGCTGCTCGCCAAGTGTAAGCTGTGCGGCGGGGCCGTCGGCGGCGAGGAGAAAGTGAACGTGGTTCTGTGCGGACTCTTGGAGAAGTGGTTCCCCGGCGAGCTGGAGAGGTCGAAAACGCTGTGCAAAGTGGACGAGCTGTGTAGGAGGAGGCGCTACCACGAAGCCGTGTCGTTAGCAACCGATGCTATTCAGTCTGGTGAGTTTAGAGACGTCGCATTTGACGTTAAACGCATGTTTCCAGATGGGGGAGTTTTCTCTTTTTAACCGACGGTCGGGGTTTGTTTGTTGCGCACCCTCCGCGCGCATGCGCACTTTAATGACACAATTGATACATCCCAACATGACGCAGCACTGGCTGTTTAAGTTTTATTGCCGACGTTAGTGGACTCCGACGGGCCTGGAAAAGTGAGTTCCGCTTGCCGACATTTTAAAAACCAGTAAGGTGTTTGAGCAGCCTGTCGCCGGCCTCCTCCCTGCGTTACGCTCGCTGGATCCTGCTTACGAAAGTTCACAAACCGCGCATGCGCGCTAGGGACGCAAGTTGCGTAAGGCGGGTCGTGACACACAGCGAGGCAGGTTTTGTAACTTATTGAAGGGCATTAGGATTCTGTAACCGTTATGGCTGACTTAAGCTTAAGTTCACACGTGATTTAACGTCGTATGAGCGTAAATGTGGCGTTAACGGGTCAAAGGATGATGATGATGATGATGATGCAGGCCAGGCGGACCAGGCAGTGAGTTTGCTTCTGTCACAGATCCTAAAGGTTCCTAGTTCAAAAGATTCAGAGTTCACAAGCCAGAGACGGTCGGCAGCCTCCCCAATAACAACAATGATCTCAAGCACCCCTTGAGCAAGGCACTTAACGCCAAGCTGCTGGAAAAGTTGGAAACTGCCTGTTTATCCACTGAGCAGTTCCCTGATTTAGAAAAGAATGTAGTGTTTTGGTCATCACGGCCTTCGGTGGGACTTTTAAGGACATATTTGCACTATTGGTATTTGAATCACAGATGACTTCTAACCACGAATAATGACTTCCTGATGCTCAGGAGATCTATGTTACTGTTTAAATGGCTGCGGGGGGATCGTTTCTCATCTGATCTCCGACAGCCTGTTTGTCCGATAGTATGGCTGTAAATTGTTCAGGGCCCTTCCCCCAGTTTATGGGATCTCACGGAAACATCTGTGGAATCTGGGTCGAGTGATTTAACACGCAAATAACTCTGGCGTTACTTGGACCTTGGAAAGTGAAAGACGTCACCGAAACCTCTGCATGATAACAAATTCAGTGGCCCTGACACGAATGTAATGACACACAGCAGTTAAGAGTTCAACACTTACTTTGTTTCTTTCTTGTAACTCAAAATATTTGCACAATGACCGAATGGGAGGGTAGAACGGCTGAATAAACATTACATCCCTTTTCAAAATTTGGTTTCACAATCCAGTATGTTCCAGCGTCATGCAACTGTTGGATTCACCGAATCGGCCCCGCAGCATTCAGGGCTACGTGCCCACTGGTTCGGGCCTCCAGACCCTTTTTGTTGTACCCGATCCCACCTCTCCTCCGCGTATTTCCCGTCCGCCCTTTCTGCCATTTTGGAAAAAAGCCAAGATAAAGGAAGAAATAAAACCAAGTTGTGTGGAGGTCAAATGAGGGGAAAGACTCACTTGTCATCAGGTCAAAGGTGCTCGCTCACTGGGGCTCTTCTGACAGTTTCGGTCCCCAGAGGAGAAGCAGGACAGCAACTTTCACAGGTCTATTATTGATGTAATGAGGCCCAGACAAACTGCCTGCGGTCCTGCCCACATTAGCATTTGTTAAACCTCGTCCCATTTGTCTCGGTGAGAGGTGATGCATTATTTGGACTGGTAGCAGCCATTCCGGGAAAAGCCACAACTCCGTCTGTGAGGAAAATAAATGCCAGTGAACTTTAGATAGATTGTGGGTAAATTTGCTCAAAATGTAGCGACATAGTTGAGTGATGAGATGCCGAACGTGTGCTTTTAACGTGATCCACATTCATTAAAGATCAATGACACGCTGTTAATTATAACCCAAAATCTCTGGAGGTGTTAAGTTTTTTTTGTATTTATGGCTCTATGTCCCCTAGATATATTCACAAACTCTAATGTTCTTCAAGAAATCAATGACTATTCTATTCTTGGCATTGATAATCCACCAAATAATCATCCAACCGTCCAATAAAAACCTTCAGCGAGCAAAGATAAACCTCTTGTTCCCCGCTCCTCCCACAGATCCAGAGTCGGCGGCCGGGGCCCGACTGTCCCGGGCCGAGGCGTACATGGCTCTCAAACTGTACCGGCTGGCTTTGGAGGACACAGAATTCAACTGTTCTGCGGAGGTAGGTCGTCTGTCGCCCTGCGCTACAGAAACGTTGCTCTGGGTTGAATTGTATGCTGTGGATTTGTGCACACACACACACACCCCCACCTTTGCCTTTCCTAATGCTGGTCGGCCGCGTGTTAGTCAGCCGCTCATTATTAAGGACAGCTGTATTTTAGGACTGCCACTCACAAAGCCACAGTGAGCCCCTAGTTTCTAATGCCCCGGGATCCTCGGGACCAGTCGACTCTGGGACCGTTTTCACACGTGTCGGATTCTAAAGGCAAAACTGAATTTATAACTGTCTAAAAATGATTTGTTAGGTTTGACCCGTATGTTTGTTTTCAAGGCCTATTTATAAATAACTGAAAAAAGGGACTTTTTCATATGGTGAGTAGAACAGCATCAAGACTTTGATTAACGACAAAGGCATCATTTACTATTGGATTAGTAACTAGAGACCAAATGTCCTGTATTCACGATTCATTGAAGAATTGCGTTTAGACAAAGCTGCATCTGTTCCTGTCTGCTTCTAAAAAACGTTCAGCATGTTTTTTGATCGATTGTTCTTAAGCTGGACTGGTGTTTTTTTGTCCACAGTCCTTAAAGGGACTTTTCACCAGTGGATTCACAGTGAAATGTAAATGTTGGTCCAGAAGTCTAATTTCTCTCTTTGCGTCTTTGCTTTCTGTTCTTTCAGGCTTTGTTTAGGAAAGCTATGGTGCTGCATGAGATGGGCCGAGTGGACGAGTCCCTCCAAGTCTTCCTCCACTGCCTGGCTGTGGACAAGGACTTCCCTGGTGCTAAGAGACGAGTGGAAAAGGTCAGATGATTTAAGTGGAAGGACGTGTGATCAGTCTGTGACAATGTGGGAACAGAGAGGACGTTGGCATGTCGTCCTTAAGTCTGTAGTCAGTTGAGTTGAAGTCCCACTGGAGCAGCTGGCTTCAAAGCAACGTAAGCCAAAGCTTTAAGTAAAACCTGGTCCTTCTAGTGTCGGATGGCCAGGAACGTAAAGCTATTCCTTTTTTAAAATTGTATTGCACAATGAAGGCAAGTTGATTCAATAAGATCCGGTTATTACTTGTTCTGTTTTCATAGGCAGCATCTAATGTTCTCCTACATTTCCTTAATGATACATCTTCTTACGGCATCAATCCTTTTTTCTTTTTTTTTTTAGGATCTTTGCATAGAACAACTGTCTGCTGTGTCTTTGCAAAAGTCATTTGATTCTGTTCATCCATATTGATTTCAGTCACTTAGTTGATGTTTATTTCCTCTTTCTCTCTGTCCAGTCTTTATCCCGAGAGCATGGGTGTAAAATGACCATGTAGAATACCTGCAATGGTCTAAATACGGTTAAGTGTAGGGATCAGTCTAAGTCTCAATCCGTCATGGGATTGCGTCATGGAAAAGTTGTTAGTGGAACAGATCTTGGGACTCTTGCCGGTAATGACATTAGTACCACTTACTAGATTGACCACAGGATTGTAGTTAGGTAAGTGCTCAACAGTTGACCCTCGTTGCAGCACATTTCCAGAATGATGTGAGTTTGTTGCCACTGTGTTGCACTCAGTTGCTAATGCTGCCCGAGTTTTGTGTACAACGCATAAAAGCCTCGTGCCAGTTTTCATCTTATCTAAAGTGTGCAAAATTGATTGGGCCTGTTTGTAATGGTCGCTGGCTGAATTGACTTCTTGTTTAGAATGTCTTGCTATTATGAACCAGAAAAAATACAAGCACTTCTCGAGCTGGACATCAATTTACATCGGTTTGGGAGGCAGATGGCATGCCCAATCATGTTTGTGTTGCCTCTGATCGCACGCCAAGACCTTCCCATGGCCCATCAAATGAAGACGACTAATTAATGCAATTGAAAATGATGAGAGGACAAGGTATCCAGATGATGCCGAGCATATAGTTAAATCCTTGTTATGAAAAGAAGGAAGTGCTCAAAAGAAAACGGCCAACTAATTCACTCACACAGAGGGAAATAAGGCAAATACAGGGGAAAAGTTCTGTGATTTACGCACAGGACCTGCTGTAGCTTTGTAAATGACTGCACTGGGAGATTAGGTTGATCTCTTACTGGGTCATATACACTAAGGTCACACTAATATCTGCAGTACCTGGAACATTCAGGATGCCCAATGCCGTGTGCATTGTCATGTCTAAGTTTGCTCTTGGTGTTGGAATTGTATCTACTGGATGGTGTAGTTTAGCTCGTGGTACATAACCCCTTTGTGCACATTGGAAAGAACCTTTTTTTTTCCTGTACTGCAAGTATTGATTAAACACGGTTTTAAAGTGCTTAATTCCCCCCCGCCCTTCCTTTCCCCCAAGTAAGGGAATTTGAAAAGGCCTTTTTATTTTGCTTCCCAAACACTTTCAGACATCATTTTCCTTTCCAATTCAAACACTTAAAAGGTTTGTCTACTTGCTGACCGACTGCATGCTCCTTACAGATCCTGTGCGACTTGCTCTCCCCCGCTGATGAGAATGTCAAGGTCGGCCTGAGGGAGACGGCACAGAACACGTCCCCTCACTTGCGTAATAAAACCCCGGTGACCGACGCTGAAACTCAACCGCCGAGCCCGGTCCAAAGACAACACCTGCTCCGCGCCGCCTCCGCACACGACCACCTGGAAAGCCTCGAGGTATCAGCGGAGTAATGCTCTCACGTTGTTTGAGAAATGGCTTTGGTGCTTTTCTGTCGCCACAGGTCCATAAGCGAATCGTCGTCAATATTAACTGTGGTCTTCTGGCGTTATTCAGAAGCGGTGGGAAAGCCTGGAGCGGCCGGGTCTCAGCAGAACTCACTCGCTTCGGGCGCACGGATCGAGCTGTGGCGAGGAAGGACTGAAGAGAGTCTGCTCGGCCCCTCAGCTGGGGGACCAGGACAAGGGGAGCCTGCTGAAGAGGAAATTGTCTGTGTCGGACTCGGAACAGTATGTCGCTGCCAGTGGAAGTAATAAGCTTAAAAAACAAGGTGAAAAGGCAGAATTTTACTCTTTCAGTTTATATCAATAACTTTTAAAACGACCCAAGAACGTATAAAATGACTTTTTAGGAAAGTAATCGGGATACCCTCTCTTCTTTTTTTTGACTTAAGGCATCGCAAAAGGCTCCAAGCAAAAGGCCGCCAAAGCTAAGGCCCCCCGAAGTGTCCCTGAGGACCTGCTGGACCCCAACGACTTGGAGTGCTCTCTCTGCATGAGGTGAGGGAGCGAAGCAGACCAGCCGAATGCATGCATGACATAAATGGAAAATGGAAAAACTGAATGTTGCATCTCTGTGATCAATGCAGGCTGTTCTATGAGCCTGTCACTACGCCATGTGGCCACACCTTCTGTAAAAAGTGTTTGGAGCGCTGCTTGGACCACACGCCCCAGTGTCCGCTCTGTAAAGAGAGCCTGAAAGCGGTGAGAGACCTGCCTTCACTCAAACTCAAATCTGCATATTTATGTGTGCTCCTTGCATCTCGTTTTAATCAACGCCTACGCCGCTGTCTCCAGTATCTAGCATGTAGGAATTACATGGTGACCACCGTCTTGGACATGCTGATCAAGCAGTACTTGAGTCAGGCGTATGCAGAAAGGACTAAAACGCACCTGGAGGAAGCCAGGGAGCTTTCTGAGTAAGCATCTCCGTCGCTGGCCTGGTTGATTCCAGCCTTCAGCATGACCGGTTTCTCTAGCAAAAGTTTAAAAAAATGTTTTCTTTACTTTCTACTTCTCTCCCTCCGTGCAGTCTGACAAAGAACGTGCCTATCTTTGTGTGTACCATGGCCTACCCCACCGTGCCTTGCCCCCTGCACGTCTTCGAACCACGGTACCGCCTCATGATCCGCCGCTGCATGGACACGGGCACGCGGCAGTTCGGGATGTGCATAAACGACCCCCAGAAAGGGTGAGCGTTCTCCTGCAAGCCCGTTCTTTTATATGAATTCTTTAAAAGTGGAGTAATATTCCATATTGAAGAACCTTGAAACCCGACACATATCGCCATATAAAGAAAAGACTTCCAATTTAGGACGTCAGAGGAACCACTTGCACAAAATGCCAAAACTTCATTCTCACAGAAAGTGTGTGTGTGTGTGTCCCTCCACTGCAGGTTTGTAGATTACGGCTGCATGCTCACCATCAGGAGTGTCCATTTCCTCCCCGACGGACGATCAGTAGTGGACACCATCGGAGGGAAGCGCTTCCGCGTAGTGTCCCGAGGAATGAAGGATGGCTACAGTATTGCTAACATCGAGTACTTGGGTGACACGAGAGTAAGAACCACAATGACATGTGATTAATGTCATTGACAATATGTTGTACAATTGTACACTTGTAGGCTATGTGGGTTGATTTGGGGTGGGTTGTCACTTTAAGGAGATTTGTTTTTGTTATCATTCATTCCAATTCTTTTCAAAGTAATGCTTTTTGAAGTTTAAATAGTCCAGAAGTAACTAAATATTTCTTATTTTCCACCAGGTTGAGAGCAGCGATGAGCTACAGAGACTACAAGAGCTGCACGATGCAGTATATGAGCAGGCCCGCGTCTGGTTCCAGAACCTCAAGATCCACTTTCACAACCAGATCCTGCAGCACTTTGGACCAATGCCGGAACGAGAAGCTGACATCCAGGTACACGTCTCACCCGTAGGGGTCCTTTCATCATTAGTTCATGTGAGAACAACATGTTGAAAGGATTCCTTTCAATGAATGTTTCTCAGGAATGTTGGAATTCCTTCAAATTGGACACAAACACGCCATAGACTCAAGGAATGAACTGCTACTATGCATGTGAACAGAGATCAAGGTCACTGTGACCTGAATAAACACATTTTGGGGCATAACTCCAGAATTCACATGCTAATTTACTTATATGCAGATAATCAAAGCAACACCAATCTATCTATTATCAGAACCGGTATCAGCTGATCTCTGGCAGTCATTTTCTGCCAAGTCAAGTGCTGCAGGGGCTTGTAAAGCTTCCATTACATCATCTGCCACCGCGTGACACTGCAACTTGATTATGGGAGACCCGCTTTACCACGGATTCACCTGCCATGTTTGTCATAATACCGGAACGTAGTTGTTGTGTGCGCTCGCCTCACGGCCTGCAGCGCCAGGAGGGATTACAGCTCCGCTCTAAGGACCACCGCGGGGAGGAGTCCATTGATAATATAGGCTAAAGAGCTTTAAGGGTGCTTCATGCCTAATCCTAGTGGCACTGTCGCGTCAGAGGAGTGGCATGGAGAGAATCCCTGTTGCATAGACACACACACACACACACACTACAAATGTTGATGTTCCAGGAAACGAACAGCTTGTGGGCTAATTCCAGCATAACAAGTAAAAGTTTGCACAGGCGCCGTACGTATCCTTCACTGGAGTGTTAAGCACATCCGGTAACTGGCCCAGTCTCTTTCCAGTGGTGTAGTTGAGTCACACACAGGGATTCCTCTGGCTTCCACACAGGTCTAATAGTGCTCCCCCTCTCTTCTAGGCAACACCTAACGGTCCAGCGTGCTGCTGGTGGCTCCTGGCTGTTCTGCCCATCGACCCGCGATACCAGCTCTGCGTGCTCTCCATGAGCAGCCTCAAAGACCGCCTGGTGAAGATCCAGCAAATCCTCACATATCTGCAGAGCATCCCCAACCACTAGAGCTTCCTTTTCTCATCACCACACACATCCTTTTGGACTTAAATGACATTCAAGCAACCCTGTTTTGGATTCTTCCGCCATTTGACATCTTCTTTTTTGAACTCTTGTTTTTTACATCCACAAGACAGTTCTTTATTGAAAAAAAGCCTACACAAGATAAAACAAAGTCCTTGAACCGTGGATCACTGAAACCAGAGATGTGGCCAAACCACCTCAGGGATAATTCCACTAATGCAATTTTCTTTTTTGTGACATTCAAAAATGATTCATGAAATAAGAGATGTATGACAGCAACTATTTTCTAATTTCATAAGAACATCCATGAATTACCTCGTTGAAATAAGAAGAGCAGATTCTTGGTGGCTGCCGTTGAATGTGCTGATAGAGTAGAGTAACAATCCATCTCTTGTGTACCGTCTTGAAGGCTCGTACGTGCAGCGCTGAGGTGAGAACATTATAGTGGCGTTGAGTCATCTCTGTCGAGATCTTTTGAAAAAGTTTTTAATTGTTCTCGTTGTGTTTTGGCTGCTTCTAAGATTTGTGTTACTATGGAGGAGGGCGGAGCGGATTCTGTGAAACTAGATCCTAAATGCTGAAAGTCCCAAAAAAAAAGTGATCGCAGAGGTTTAGCTGAACCATTTTTGAAAGGAGATTTTTACAAAACCAAGTGCAACTTAAGGCCTGTGCGTGCGTGCGTGTGTGTGTGCACCAAACTCTCCCGTAAGTATTAATCGATATCTTCCGAGCATCGCGTTCTTTCTAACTCACTTGTCCCACGTGCTCGACTTCCATCGCTGCCTCCTAGTAGTGGCAAGGACGTCGTTGTTGAAAGAATGAGGTCTGTGTTTCTTCCCATCGTTTCCCACTTTGAGTTTCTCCAAAGTTGTCATGCAAATATTTATTCCACCTGACTCCGAGGTTCTTAAATGCTTTTCTTCCTCTCAAAACTAACCTCGAATCGTACGCACTGTCTTCCAAACCGTTTTGTTTGATGAGGAGCTTTGGAGATCCTGAAGTGTTGAAGGTCCAGCGCTTCTGTCCATGTGCTGTTTGGCCTTCCTTTTTGAACCAAAACACCCCGCTGCCCGTTACGTCCACTTATACCGAATTAATATAAAAGTAAGAATACTAGTTGTACTTTCTTCCCATGTGATTGTATGAGAGGTGTGCAGGGGTTCCTTCAATAATGTGACAAATGGAAACCAGACATAAACGACGTGTGTATTCAACATGGTGGGTTCATTCACAGCGGATATTTGTCTACTTGGAGGACTTGACTTGCGGTGCTTGACACGGGACTGCGTTTGCCTTACACCATTTTGCATTGTGATTTAAACTACACGATACGTTGGCTTTACTACCATTCCTTCTTGCCACGGTGAGACGTATGCATTTTTGTTCTGAGCTTTAGGCACCATTTTTTTCCCAATGTGTATAAATACATGTTAAAGAAACGTGATTCAAGTCAAGGCCGTTCTATATGTAAATCATCTGTAAAATTGCTCTTTGGACGGATGTTTAAGTTATCAATTTTCAATAATAAATGCACTTCTTTTTTCAACTTTAGGTTGAGTGTCTACTGCTTCACCGGTTTTTACCTCACGAAACATTGGGTTCAAAGAAAGCATTTCTAGCTAACATTGGATTTTAACAACGTAAAAAAAACGTCTAATGTATTATTTATCAAGAAATTCAACACACAAAAATATACACTCGGGCCGGTGTGGTTGTGGCTTTATTAGATTTGATTCTAACCGAACTATCCATACGAGGTACTAATTTAAATGGTTTGCATTGTAGTACGGAACATCATCTTTTCCCAACGCAGCGCTGCGCATCTTCAGCCGGTCAGAAGAACATAAGAGGAGAGGAAAAAAAACAACATTAATGTGACACAATTAACATCCTGCTCCGGCAGATAATAGTGAGTTCATGTAGGACTCCATCACACAGAGCACAGAGGGGTTTAGGAATAGTGTTTTTCATAAATTTAAACCCATTACGATTCCTCCTTGAACGTTAAGGCAATATGTAATACTTTATAACCACAAGGGGGCGATAATGCAGCATTGATACATTCAAGCGTTTCATAACTCCCCCATTTGTTCTCTGTAAAACTAAACTTTCATAATCAAAACATAATCACATCGGCCCCCGTTTTGTTTTTCCCAATCAGACGTTACACAAACACAACGTCGCAGAAATCGGAATCACAACCCCGGGAAGGAGAAAGTACTCACGTCAGGCGTCGTGTGTTCCCATCTTTTTTCCATCAGGCGTGTCATTGAGCAGAAAGCATCATAACAAACTCTGTAGAGGAAGACGGAGACAGCAGCAGATCCACTGATAAGGACTAATGACACTCTGATAGCATAAATGGACGGGACGCAAACGCATTATTTCCAGGCTGTGAACTGGAAACTAACACAGCTCACGATGTGATGTAATGTTTCCATTATCACTGACTTAATGAACGGTTAAAGCAGCGGGGGCGTGATATGTAAAAGGGAAAAGCAGCAGAAAAGATTCACCAGCATTTTAGTTGAAATTGAAAATAAAATCTGTTTATTTCTTTATTTGAAAGAGAGCCCAAGTTCATCAGTTTGACGAACGTTGTGTTCAGCTCTCTCCGGCCATTATTGCAGATTCACCTGTCAATCTCGGCAGCTATTGATGTGTCCCTGATGAATGAAACCCTGCTTCAGAAAGCTTGAGGCAGGTTTCACTAAATCAATCCGGTCATGTCTTCCATTTCCCCCCTTTCCCTCCGTGAGACTTTGCCCTGAAAGACTTCTGACTCTAGCTGTGCATCTATTGATTGACTGAGTCGTAAAGCTTAATTCCGCACTAAGCCACTAACATTATCTCTTGAGATACTGCTGCAGACGGTTTTTTTCTTCTCAAAAAGGAGTAAATCGAGCAGAGCACCAGCTCCCGGCCACCTGAACCAGCTTCTCACTGCAGCTGTGGATGCTTGTTTTCTGCACATGTGGCTGAGCTGGACGGAGACACACACACACACACACAGACGCTCCCCAGAGGGCCGATTGAGGACATCGAGGAGCACCTGCTCATTGATCCCTTCGGGGACCGACAAACCTATTCATATGTTCCCGATAACTGTAATTGATTGGACTGCTGAGGCAGGACAAACAGGATCCCACCTCTAAGCCCTTGGTGTGCTGCAGTGCATAATCGCACACGTGTGTGTGTGTTGTTGCTGCTGCTGCTTGCGCCTACACACGTGCAGACATGTAAGTGTGTGTTCACGTGTGTGTGTGTGTGTGCTTGCATCCCATCCTAGTGCTTCTGTGCATGCAAGGTAACAAAAGGAAATGCCGTTTCTGCCTTTTCATGTCCTTGAAATGCCCAAGTGTGCGTTCTTCATGTGATGGGTGTCTAGGCATGTGTATTGATTGGTTTAATGCACTCCTGATTAGATCGGCTGGGCAATTCCAGCCCACCCGCCTTGACATAACCAACCCTTCTTTCCAATTGCAACCTTTTCCCTCCCTTGTTACTTATAGATTCTCTCCTCCGGTCCTCCTCGTCCTGAACCCAGTCCGAGGAGACTCACTGACTCCTCTGCTTTTTCCTCCTTAGTTTGCTCCCTCGGATCCTGCAGACTAGCAGTTTGATTCGGCACTGTACTAATGCACTTAACATAATTAATGTTAATAGTGCTCACCAGCGGATGAAAGCCAACCCCAAATTCTCTCATTGCAGAACAGCCCTTGTTCACCTTTAGCTTCACCTTGCTGCACTTGTGTTTCTGCTCGAGCATTTAGGTTTATGGCCGGATACTAATGAAAGAGGGATACTCCTACTTGTGGATGTGTCCTAAGTGATGATTAAGAGAGATTAGTTTTTGATTTCATACTATGTTATTTAGATATATTCTACTCATTGTGGCTTTAAATATACTCGGCATCTATTCTATTGTGCTTCACACAAATATAATATCATAACAGTAATAACTCCCCAAGTGGAATATAGTTTCCACGTACCCTCTGGCAACTGCAGCGGTGTCCTCTGGGGTTCAAACACCTCATGATCGGGAGTCCCTCCTGTTTCAGCGTTTCATCATTATTTGGAATTCATTGCTTTCAATGTCTTCTCACACCTCGCCTGAAGTCCGCCGACTCCTCTCCCACAGCCCCCCCCCCCCCCCTCCCTCCCTCGCCCCCCAAATCCCAAGCCACTCACCATCAAAGTCAATGTTGCCGTCTTTGTTGAGGTCAATGTCGCTGAGGATCTCCTCCAGCTCACCTTTCTTCATCTTCTCCCCCAGGAGGGTCTTCATGCCCTCCTTCAGCTCATCCAGCGTGATCTTTCCATCACCATCACAGTCGAACTGCAGCGCGTGGGGTCAGTGGAGAGCATTGAGGTGGAGGAAGGGGACATGTAGTGCACGAGGAGAGACAAACCGATCAGAGATGAAGAGGATTTAGAGATCACACAAGAAATACGGAAGAAAAGTCTCCAATTCCGATGTGGAGGCTACAGATTGGTTGAGCTCGGCATGACTTACTGGGGTTTAAGAGTCAAACGTAGAGATTCAGAAATATGCAAAAAAGTTTCACATTGTCAGCGTAGCTACAACATGGATGCACGAGGTCCCTGGAAGTCTGAAAACAGCTTGCGAGGCAGATGGGGCAGCGCTGACTCATGAGGTGTTAGTCGAGTGTTAGTGTTGGTACCGAAGTGAGACCCACTTTTTTAGTGAATTTGAGGGCTGAGTTGAGATGAGGTGAAATTATTTGTTTCATCTGTCACAGAGTAAAAAAAAGCTTTTAATGTTGTTTCTGTGCAGCCCCACAAACCCAACATGTGAATTCCTAGTTAGGCCGATGACGCACGTGTGATAAATTAACTCCAGATACGAGAGCAGACGACTACGTCTCCTTGGATTCTCAACATGGAGGACGCGTTTTAAAACCTCTTATGCAAAGTACTAATGTAGTCTTTCTTTCATGATGGATTTCATAACCTCAGTCAAGCAAGTAGATTGTTTGGTTGAGATGGAAACGTTGTTATAAAGCTCATGACCAGTAAAAAGATGGATGACTTGTTTGACACAATTTGCTTTTGCGAATTGATGTTTTTCCCTTTTTCAAATATGTATTTGGCATCACTTCATTGGCAATAATAACTTCACTGAGTCCAAATCCTGCTCTTGCTTTTAACATCCCAAATAGTCAAACTAACTGCCGGGGGCTACAATGATAATATAATGAATCCTTGTAGCACAATTTGTTTTAAGTTCTTATTATGAAGAGCACATTATCAGTGTTATCTGTTTGGCTGTAACCATTAAAGACGTATGATGCTGTAATGTGTTCAGTGGAGGAACTCAGGTGGGAGACACTGTGCTTATGAATAACTACCCCCCCCCCCCCCCTTGTTTTGGTTGGTTGCTCAGGCCAAGTAACAGCCCGCCCTTATTATGACGTCAAAGAGAGCAACAATTTCCTCCAGACCAATGAAGCACAAATCAACATGTTATTCAAAGAAGTGTAATATATATATATATATATATATATATGCTGGCCCATCGGATAGCAGTGACTATCCATCATAAAGACGAACCATCAATCACAATATTTCTGTGTCCTTAAAACGGGCCTGTGCGTTCCCACCCAACTAGACTCCCACTATCAGGGAAGGTCTTTTGACTGACTGTCACAATGGATGTCAGACGTCTCCGCTCGTGGCCGGATGACCTCTGACCTGTTTGAAGGCACAGCGGAGCTCCTTCAGCCCGACCATATGAGCCGTCTCAGCCAGCATCCTTGGCCCCATCAACTCGCAGAAATCATCAAAGTCCACGTGACCCCCCCCTGCAGAAGGACAGAGGACATACGCACAGGTCAACAACAAAGTAACAGCCCGCGGGGCTCTTTTAGTCAGAAGATAGTTAGCATTGTTAACATGTTGATCACAACCGTCTACTGGTTAATGTTAAACCGAGACAAAGACCATGTTGATAATTCACAGGCAGTTTTTTTTTTAAGTACAACAAATTCTTCTCAAATATAGAGAATTGAAGTATTAAAAGTCCAATCCAAGTACTGTTCATCAATATTCTACCTAAATACTGTATTGAAGTTACATTACATGTCATTTAGCTGACGCTCAAAGCGACTTACAATAAGTGCATTCAACCATAGGGTACAAACTCAGAAGAACAAGAAACAAGAAAGTGCAATTTCCTCTAATAAACCAGTTAGTAGTGAAGTAAAGTAAAGTAAGTTTGAAGTAAAAGTAAAACTTAATCCCACCCTTCTGTGTTAGAAGTTCATAAATGTGTGAGTGCACTGAGGCATTAACATTGCATTCCTCTATCTGCTCATTATGTTTCCATCAACTCAGTTAAACAGTTTGTTTGTGTGAACCGCGTGTCAATTATTAACACACACTCACACACAACAGCCGAAGCGAAGCTCATTTCATCGTGTAGACCGGTGGTCGGTTTTCATTGCGTGGGCCTTTTGAAGGATGTGAATGACTACTCCAATAAAGCCAGGCGGTCATTTTGTCCTTAAACAGATCTAATCAGCGCTCAA